CTTGTATTTGGGAAACTGAGAGATTAATGATGAAGTTAGAGACTGACATACAAAGCTATAATACGATTAACAAATATTTACTAATTAACGTGTCTGTGATGAAAGAGAGATTGTTCTTAATGATAATAAGATCTTTATATTTCTCTGAGGTGCTCACAGGTGACTGTGTTATTGTAATAAATAAATATGCAATGCCTCAGATTGCGAACATTTCTAAGCCATGATTAATCACATTTTATTGTAATTCCCAGTTCACTGTCCGTCTCCACAAAGTCCTTCTGGATTGTTTTTCTCAAACACACGACCAACAAACTGAGATGATACACAAATTACACTTAAAACTTAAGGTGTCATGTTGATGTGTTGTGATTATTGATGTAGATCAGCGGTTCTCAACCAGGTCCAGTAGCATTAAAACAGCATAAAATCAAGCTATTTCTTATTTTAATTCACCACTTAAACAACTGTTTTTGTCTATTAAGAACCAGAAAGGAAGACATGATTATGTGAGGAACACTGATTTGAAAGTGTGATTTCTACACCTGGAAAAGTCATGAAAATTAATCAAATGTTAAAACATTTGTATATAACGAATGTGCATTTTACTAGTTCTACTAGGCTAGAAATATTTTATCAGGTCGACATTATGAGTAAAACAATGAAAAAAAAACCCTAATCCTGATCCAGTGGATCACAAATGACTGGAAGAGTCACGTAAATTCATTGGTTTAAAACAGCAGGAACCCTGAAGAACATTCAGCTCCTAAAACTTTTGGAAACCACAAATTGAATGCACAGAAACCAGGAGTGTCCATAGATCAAAATAAATAAATAATAACTTTTGCATTACAGCAGATATTATTGTGACTGGAGTCATGAAGGTTGAGAAGCGCTGATGCATGACGTCGTTTGAGGACTGCATGAGTTTTGATGAAGGTTTTGTGTCTCTGTGATTTTAATGCGGCCAGTGTTGGTTTCATTCAGACTCCCACAGCAGAAACACGTCCTGCACTGTTTGCTCTCAGTGGTTTTCATCAGGTGAAAAGATTAAATCAACTTTGTTTTTTACAACTAAAAGTGCCTAGAACATGAAGGACTTATTGCTGTTTTTTTTACAGTATCTTTTGTAATGCAGTTAATGCTTGTTGTTTTTAAGAACTGCTTTTATATAATCGTTTCATATGTATTTTTATTATTGTTGTTGTTGTTTGTTTTTCATCTCTGTGGTCATCGTCTGTTCATGGTTATTTTTAAGGCAGGCTCTCACACAGTAATGCTTTTATATTCTGCTTTATAAAGGTCACAGTAATCCAGATGTAATGCTGCTCTCATTAAACAGTCACGTTTTTAACAGCCTTGATGTTTCTGTGCTCCATAAAATCAACTGTTTTAAGAATCCGTTCTGTTTCTCCATGTATAATTAGTCAAATGATGCCCCTTCCCTTACCAAAGAAGTACTGTGATGGGATTTCCACGTTAATCCAGTGACAATCATAGAATATGGTACATCTCCCAAAAGTGTTGCCAGTTTTTGTTAGTGTTTTCCTCTGTTTGATCAAGGGACACATGCATTCCACAATTACTTTGAAGGAATAGTTCAGCCATAAATGAAAATGTGCTCACCATCAAGGAATTCGAGATGCAGATGTTGTTTCTTCATCAGGTTTGTAGAAATGTAGCACTGCATCAGTGTCTCAGCAATGGATGCTCTGCAGTGAATGGGTGCCGTCAGAATGAGAGTCCAAACAGCTGATAAAAACATCACAATAATCCACAAGTAATCCACAGCACTCCAGTCCATCAGTTAACATCTGGAGAAGTGAAAAGCGTTAAAGTTTAGAGCTGTTTAAACGCTGCTTGATCTGTGCAGATTTCTCTCCTGATTCAGACCAGAACACTTTTTCACTGGAGGAAGAGTTATTATGGATTATGGACTCTATGGTATTTGAGTTAAAAACGTGTTGATGGATTTGTTTTCTCAAGAAGTTAACTGATGGGCTACATCTTGGATGAGCACATTTTCAGTTTTGGCTGAACGACTCCTTTAAGTTTCAGATCTCTGCATGTAAAGGCCAGCAGAGGGCGCTGTGTGTGAGAGACAAAACCCAACCAATCCAACAAAGACTTTTCTAGTAGAGGACAGAGTTCGGATTATTTGCATTGCTTGACAGATTTCACAGCCGATTTTAATCACTTTTGATCTGAGATGTTTTGATGTAGTTTGACTGCTGTGTGTGAATGCATTTCCATTCTCGGTTCTTTACACTATAGACTCTAGTATAGTATAGAGCTTCATACTGGCTCTGCTGCCCATCAGATGCACCATAAATGGTGTGTGTGTGTGCGTGTGAGCGTGTCTGTGTGAGTAACAGCTCAACAAAGTAAATTAGAATGCTATCTGTCTCTAAACAGAGAATATAAATTGGCAGAATACCTAAACACAGTGGCAGACCCTAAACTAAGAAAAGTCCTGACCATGTACAGACTCAGTGACCATAACCTCACTATAGAGACAGGCAGACACAGACAGACCTGGCTACCAAAAGAAGACAGATTGTGTCCACACTGCACACAACATGAAGTGGAAACAGAACTGCACTTTTTAACAACATGCCCTAATTATACACAAATTAATTCACAAACCAGCACAAAGACTTCAACCAGATACAACAAAAGGACAAACTGGCTTACATTCTGGGAGAAACCTCAACAAGCTCTAACCTGGCTGCGAGGTACGTCAAGTCCTGCCATGATAAAAGGACGAGCAGTAGAACAGAACCACAAGTCACAGCCGGAAGAAAACACTGGACAACACACATAAACTGACATGACAGGATCCAGTCCTTCTCCTGTCTCTTTATTAGTACTTTCATTTGACTGTATACAGATATATAGACTATATATGCTATATACTTCTACGCTTATGTATATTTGTGTTAAATGTCTATTTAAATGTTTCTATGCTTTGGCAATGTAAAGATACTTTTTTACCATGCCAATAAAGCTACTTGAATCTGAATCTGAGTGTGTGTGAGTGAGAGTGTGTGTGTGTGAGAGAGAGTGTGTGTGTGAGTGAGAGTGTGTGAGAGAGAGAGAGAGTGGAGCTTCTTTTGTCACGCAAATGATGTGTGTCATGAGAGAAGAGCTCAGGTGCGTCTGTGTCACTCATGATGCTCTTCATGCAGATTATGACCCCCATCTCTCTCTCAGATGATTTTGTTTCTTCATGTTTGCCTCTTATTTTAATAAAACATTATTTGTTGTTCTGACACTTGGCTACATGCAAATGTGTGTTCATGTTGATTTGTGTGCAACCTGAACATGAAAACTGTTTATTCTCGCTCTTCCAAAGCTTCTCCGGTGGCTTTTAGTAGCTCTTCAGTTCAGTGAACAGCTCTTTTATCAGTCATTTTTGTCTGCATGAAATGAAATGTTGAAATGTCAAAAGTTCTTGGTGTTTCGAGTTTCTTGAGATCCGTGACCTCTGAAGATCCAGCGCTGAAAAGCTCTGATGGGTGTCACGACTGAACATTGATTCTGTCTTGATTCTGAGGAATTCAGATGAAGAATACATGGATATGAAGCGTTTGATTCAAGTATTTCAATGAAATGTTCAGCTCCCTCTCTCACATCTGAGTCTCAGGCTTTTATAACTGTTTCTATGGGAACCACATTTAGTGCCATTAAAATGACAGAAATGCTTGTTGCAGTGGAATGGAATGATTGTTTGGTGTGTTTATGTGTGTTTCTTTGAGCCTATGCAGTTTTATCAGTGACTACTGAGAAATAGACTAATATTTGTATTAATACTAACTAATAGTATTATGAAAGTTTAATAATGTAGCCTATTTTTTATATCACTTTAATAACCTTACTATTGTTGTTATTAATATCCCGCATCTATTAATAGAATAATTCAGCAGCGGACTGACGCGAAGCTCCTCCCCCTAGTGTGACGTATGAAGTGAGCGCAACCGTTTTGGTTTTTATGCAAATAAGATGTCGCTTTAGCCAATCGCGCTGCAGGCCGTCCCCCCGCGAGCCAATCGCTGCACTCGACTGTGACTCGCCATATAAGGAGCGAGAACTCCAAAAAAGGAAACAGCGTATCTCTTTATATGGAGGAAAGTAGATCGGGCGTGTATCGATCCCTTCGCGCTGGCGCAAGGTGCTGCGAAGCGTCTCATCAGCGGCGGTGATTGACAGCTGTCAGCGGCGAGACGCGGAGTTGAAGCGGCAGCGGCGCGCGAGCGGAGAAGATCGCTGATTTCACGCGTTCGCGGCGCACTAGATGACGCGGCGGAGTGATCACGGAAGCGCTCGCGCGGTTTTCCTTTTAGAGAAAGCGCGTCGCTCGCGGAGCTCCAGGAGGAGGTGAAGCGCGAGAGAGAGTGGGAGTGAAGCCGGCTGGAGGCGCTCGGGTTCAGCATCACTTCTCAAAGTTTCTCGCAGACTCTGTTTGTGTATGAGCGCCGCTTCGGAACTCGATTTCTCACAGACTGCCGCCTCAGCGCTCCGCAGCCGTCACACGGATCGTTCTCTCCGGTTTCTAGGATGTTATCCAGCCAGACCGGAGCGGCTCTGAGTGGAGCCGGATCAGCGGCGGGGAAGAGCGCAGGCCACGGCGCGGTGCTGATGGGCGCCGGGGTCCGCACAGGGTTCGCGCGGGGACTGGGGCCGCTGCAGGCTGGAGCGATGGGGCTCGGGATGCCCGGGAGGTTCGAGCCGGATAGAGAGGGTCCCCCGCACGCGTGCAGCGGCTCCGACGCGGACTCTGACTCCGGCGATGAGGACGAGCCCATGGGGTCAGTCGGGGACAACCGGAGGGGAGGCGGCGTCAAGCGGGAGAGAGCGGAGATGGAAGCCGCGATAGTGGGACCTGAGGCCGGCTTGCCCTCCGCGGCGCTCGCGGCTGGAGCGGCCGGAGCGAAACCGGGCAAGAAGACCCGCGGCAGAGTGAAGATAAAGATGGAGTTTATAGACAACAAACTGCGACGGTACACGACCTTCAGCAAGAGAAAGACGGGCATCATGAAGAAGGTGAGAAGCTGAACATCATCAGCCGTGTTTCAGGTATTCTGATGCAGGCTGGTGTTAAAGATCATGGCTGGTAACTGAAAGTTTGTAGGTTCGAGTCCTGCTAGAGAACTGCATAACTGAATAGGATAATGAAATGAAAATACATTTGAGCGCGCGTAAAGGCGACAGGAAAGAACGTCATGAAAGTAACATCAGTTGTTTCTCCTAGAGCTAAAGACTTTTGAATGTTGCAATTAAATGTTGCGTTAAATCCAATTATGTTATATTAAAATCGATACAATTTCTAACATTTTTAAAAAAGTGAATATTTATTTTTTTTTTAATTTCAATGTAAAATAAAATATTAAAAAACATTTTTTTATTTTGTTATAAATTAATATTTTGTTCATTTTTATGGGATGGTGGGCCAAATCAAAAGTCATCATGGGCCCACTTTGGCTCGCAGGCCCTGATTTGGGCACAAAGTACTCAAGACGCTTGTCATTCTTCTGAGCTGCTCCACATTAGTTTAGAGCTCTGGACTCTTACTGTATGTCACTGTTTTTACTCCTGGTGGAGAAAATAGGCCGTCAGGTCTCCAGGAGTATCTGGAGCAGTGGGTTTGCGTGGGTCTTGTTCTTCGGCTCGTGAAGTCTCTCTGTGGTGTCCCATCCTTCGGGAGGTGATCTGAAGTCACAACAGATGTGAGGGGCTGTGAGCTTTAAATAGAACGAGCCACTGACATTCTCTATTACACACAAACCTCGAACCATCATGACCCACATAATCTCAGGCCGCCGAAACAACTGAGGAGATGCTTAGAAAGTACACATTTTGGGAACGTTTTTTTAAAGCAATGCTACTGTAGTTAAACACAAATTCTCATATTGTTTGCTCACCTTCATGTAGTTCCAAACTTGCATGTTTTTTTTTTCTTCCATAAAGCACAAAACGACCATTTCAAAAAAATCTATATGCAGCCCTTTTTATTCCAAAAATTCAAGTTCCACAAAGCACTATTACAATAGTCCGTATTACTCATGCACTGTATTTAATTTCATATGTTTCACAGAATATAGAAAAGCACAGAAATGCTTTGATAGTACTTAAATAGTGTTTGATGGTTGTATGTAAAAGAGCAGCATGAACATTACGCTCAACATCTCCTTTTTTGAGTTCCACAACATGATGACAAGATGTTCGTCTTTGAGTGAACAATCACTTCAAAGGAATAGTTCAGCCAACAATGATACTTTTCTGAAAGTGTGCTCATCTTCAGGTCATCCGAGATCAGGATGAGTTTGTTTCTTCATCAGATTTGGAGAAATGTAGCATTGCATCAGTGTCTCAGCAATGGATGCTCTGCAGTGAATGGGTGCCGTCAGAATGAGAGTCCAAACAGCTGATAAAAACATCACAATAATCCACAAGTAATCCACAGCACTCCAGTCCATCAGTAAACATCTGGAGAAGACAAAAGCTGAAACAAAAGCATTAAGACCTTTTTAACTAAAATACATAGAGTCCATAATCCATAATAACGCTTCCTCCAGTGAAAAAGTGTTCTGATCTGAATCAGGAGAGAAATCTGCACAGATCAAGCAGCGTTTACAAGCCATGGATTATTGTGATGTTTAGACTCTCATTCTGACGGCACCCATTCACTGCAGAGGAGCACATTTTCACTGTTGGCTGAGCTATTCCTTTAAGATGAAGTAACAGTCCCCGTCATTGGCTGTAGTTCAGCAGGTCTGAGGATCTTTCATCAGCTCCTGGTTCAGCTGAACCGAAGTGTGGCGGGTGTCTCTCTCGGGTCCTCCTCCTGATCTTCATGATGGATTGGAAGGAGAGAGCTGCTGGTAGTCTTCCTGTGGAAAGGGAATTCTTCCATTCATTACGGTTTGAGAAAGTGAAGGAACGAGAGTTTTTCTGAACCTGACGGCAGCCGTTATCTGGAGCGCACACGAGCCTGTTCAATCTAGAAACCGTTAAGCTGTCGTTCATCAGTGATTTGGCCATTTTAACGTAATCCAGCAGAAGAGTTCCTCCTCGTGTCACTCACAGAATTTTTAGACCAAACGTTCCTTCCAGAGAGTTTGTGTGCGTCTCATTTCCCATCGTTACGTTCAAGCTCGTGAGTGAAGCAGCTCACCCTAAACACATGGGTCGTAAACATCAGACAATGTGCTTCACCTGCCGTCCTCAACAGCTGAGCAAACGCAGAGCTGATGAAGAGACGATCTTGAGCTCATCTGCTGCTCTTTACGGCTCTCACACGCGTTCAGCTGCTCCTCAAACACATGCCAAACAAATGTCTAAAATGCATCTTAAACCAAGATGGGTTAAACAGATCGAGTCTTGTTTTCTGAAAAAATAAGTGAGTTTATACTTAAAAGGGTTTAGAAAAATGATCTTGTTTTTCCTTTGAATGAAATTTTAGTAGAAAACTACAGTGACTGCTAAACATTTTTCTTTTATTGGACCGCACTGTTTTTAACATAAATAGACAATGATTTTATTCAGAGATGTGTTTGACTGATGCATTTAAAAAAGTATCACCAGAATGCATTTTAGATGTTTTGTCTAGTATTAAGTCTTTTATATGACTTTTGTTTATTTGTTCTTTTGCCGTGAAGATAGCTTTGCTGCTGACATGGCATTAAAAAATAAATAAATACAAAAAAATAAAAGTTTTAAGCGTAAACTCACTTAATGTTCAAACGTGATCGTAAAACAAGACGTTATATCTTTAAATGAATGGGAAGTGAATTTCATTTAGTGGAAACGTTTAGCACTGCGCTCAAACAAAATATTATATATATGTATATATGTGTGTGTGTGTGTATATATATATATGTGTGTGTGTGTGTGTGTGTGTGTGTGTGTGTGTG